TAAAAGAATACTCTTAGTTCCTCGTAATACTCCCGATAGTGCAATCAGATTAGAAACTGGTAGAGTGAAATATGCATTTAATATATTTAAAATGACACTAAATTGGTTACTTAAAATACTTAATATGAGTGACGAACGCTATCCTAAACTTTGTTTTAAGCAACAACTCCTTTTGATAGGTTCTTCGGATAAGAAATATAATTGGGTTGCACAAGTTAAAGAAATATTTACATCTATTAATCATCTAGATCTATGGAATAACCTCAATGCCAGAACTTTAAAATTAAACACAAAAAAGCTGTTATCTGATTATTATAACAGATTGTATAATCTGGATGTCTCCTTTTCCGAACGATGCCACTTTTTATCTTTTTATACGTCATTTCCAACTGGAAAAAATCCTAAAAGTTACCTACTATTAAAATTACCAATTCACATCACACGCACACTTGCCCAGCTTCGTTTAAGTAACAAATATCAGCTAAAATTCACTGTAAATAACATTTTGTACACAATAGATCCCAAAAGTATATGTACAGTGTGTAATAAGGCGGAAAACGAAACTCTTTTACATATTCTTTTTGAAGGTCCGATTTACAATGTTATGAAGCCTAAAATTCAATCACTTGAAAATATAAATGCTCTTATTGCAACACTAGAAAATTTGACCATCAATGATGCTAAGTATATTTACTCATATATTTGTAACATATTAAAATTGAGATCATTTATTTTGAACGAATAATGTATTCTAGTATTCTATGATTATTTAATATATTTTTTTTTTTTTTTACTTTACTTTTAGCTCAATTTGAATTATGTTTATGTTACTGTGACTACACTCAAACTCTTGCTGTAACTTTGTATAAGTTGATAAGCAATAAAAATTATTATTATTATTATTATTATTATTATATGTTAAAATTACCAAAAATGGATGTATGTAGATTAGATTAGATTGGCAGTTGGACGTTATTTTTTCTTGTCCACCGCGACCTTTTCAGATCTATTGTGGGACTCCGTTTGTTTTAGAGTATGTGGTCTAGCTTGATCTTTTTTGTTAGACTTAGTAGCTTTGACAGTGACTCCCGCATGTAGTTGCATGCATTTGGCTTTTCTTCGCCCAATGTTAGAACCCTCATTCCAGCCAGGCCTTCACATTTGCACAGGACGTGGAGTGATGTTTCCTCTTCTTTACATAACCTGCACAAAGTTGTTTCTTCTGCTGGATTCATGACACTCATGTGTCTTTTAAGGCCACAGTGTCCGGTAAGAAGACCTGTTATTCTAACGTTTTGACGCTTTTGATCCAGTAGGTCTTTCGTGAACTTGGCCGAAGGTTCCTTGATGAACTGTTTGGCCTATCTCAGTCTTGGAGACTCTTTTTGCATCCATTGTTTGATGGATGCCTTGCAATATGCCTTAGCAACTTCACAGAAGGGTTCTGGGCCTGTCATGGTCTTATCTGAGCCTTCTCGGGCTAATTGTCGGCCTTTTCGTTGCCCTGATATCCCTCATGGCCTGGCACCTAGGCTAGGGTCACCTTGTTTTGACTACTTAGTTCTGTCAGGTCTTCTAGACAGTCTTTCACCAGTCGTGATTTGATTTCTGGCGAGACAATTGTCTTTATAGCTGCTTGGCTATCAGAGTATATGGCAATAGACTTGCCTGATACTTGCTGATTTAGTATTTCTCTTGCACAGTGTTGTAATGGCTATTAGTTTAGCCTAGAACACAGTTGCATATTTTCCTAAACTTTCCTAAACAGCACCAGCTCCTTCCTTTGTTTTTGAACCGTCTGTGTACCAGGCGAGATCAGCCTGTTTTCAGGATTCTCAAGCTGGTATTTGAATTTGAAAATTTCTTTAAAATTTGTATGTGGTTATGGCTCTATCAGTAGGCATAGCTAGAATATTATCCTTTTTACTTGATGATATAGCCTTGTGTGGTAGGCGCTATGTAGTTGTCTTATTGGGTTTTATCCCTGCATTAGCCTGTGAATAACTGACCTGGTTTCTCCTTGAATGAAGATGTACATGTAAAAAATAGAGCTTTTATCTGCAACGGCCTCTTATCCTTTGGCATACATTTCTTCTACTCGAATCTGAAGTTTTCTTTTTTTTTGTGAAATTTATAAAAATCCAATGTTGCCAGATTACTAAACTCGATTATCTAATCCGTAGCCGGTGCATAGAAAATAACCACTAGTCATTTAAACAGAATTTACAAATTTTAAAACGGGGCATATGGGCGTTTTAATAACTATTATTTAAATAAAATTTACTTTAAAACATTAGCGGCTTTTCTTAAGAGGCCAAAGAGCCGTGCCAAGAAATAAGTTATTAAATAAGTTATTAAATGATCAACTAGAACTCGTAGCTTTTAGAAAGCGAAGATGAATCTGTTCCTCAGAAAAGGCGACGTTACCCTCATTCCAATCTATCTGTTTTAAAAAATAAAAAAAATAGAAGCCTTGGAAGTTTTTTTACAATAGATTAGGGATTAATTTACTTTTACAAAACATCTGATAGATACCGCATTATTATGAAAGAACAGTTTTTTATCGAATACCAAAAAACATTTCTGACAAATTCCTCTCTGACTTTGATACTGTTTGTTAAAGTATATCCATTTCTAGAAAAGAATCGTCTAAAAACAGAACTGTAAGTACTTTATAAAGAAGAAACGTGTCCATTGTAGAGAAGGCCGCTTATATAATTACAACGGATACATTATAGTCAAAAAACTTCAAAGAATCAATAATAAGTAATCGAAAAAGCCAAACTTGCTTCCGCAACCCCATCGGGATAACAGAAAATACATTTAATAATAGAAATGAGACATCAAGCATTAATAGAAAAGAAACACAAAAAAACTCAAATAGATACAACATATAGCCAAGTACCTGAAGGAAATATGAGGAAAAAACCATATATTTAACAAAACATAAAACATATTGGTGTAATGCTTAAAAGAAATTTAGTTAGACTGGACCAGTTGGATAAGCGTATTTCAAATTTGAAACACAGTGCTCAAAGAACGATCCCTACTAAAAATGGCCAATCATATTAAAATTTTCGAATGTAACGCAAATGGAATGCAGCAGTATCAACAAGAGCTGCAAACACTACTAGAATTAGAAACAATTTCAAAAAAGAGTCGTTCATAAAATGTAAAGGATATAAAGTGTACCATACAATCTATCCAGATAATGCGGCAAAAGACGGAAGTTCTGTTATAATTAAGGAATCCATTTTACACTATCAAGAAATGTGTTACAAAACAGTAGAAATACGGGCCACATCTGTTAATATTAAAAGAAAACCTTATGAAATTGTGATCGCAGCTTTATATAACCTATCAAGATATGCTATAAAGAGCAACAATACCTTGGCTTGTATAGGTAAGGATACAGATTCTTATTGATAGGAGACTTTAATACAAAACATACTAGACTGACAACAACCAAAGGTAAAGAACTATTAGCATTATTCCATCAACACAAATGTCAATGTTAACTGAAAAGCCTACATACTGAACAAAATTCCCGATCTCACATTTTTTTATATAATCAAGAATATCGCCTAAAATTAAATGCATATAAAAGAATCATGGGACATGATCTCAGATCATTCTCCCATACTTCTCACATTGAGTGATACTGTAATCAAAAAAGAAAATTTACCTAAACTAGTCAATAAAGGCATAGACTGGAAAAGCTTCAAAATCAACCTAGAAGAACTAATTGATCTCTCGATTCCATTAGGAACTGAGAAACAATTAGACCAAGAAGTTGAACTTTTTGTCAAAAATATTCAACAAGCAGCGTGAGAAAACCCTTCTGAGAATAAATGTAGAGTGCAAGGTAATAATTATTCAGAAGAAATCAGAAATCTTATCTCAGAAAAAGTTAAATTTGAAGAAAATGGCAAAAGATGAAGAACAACGCAACACAGCAGCTAAAACGTAAAATAAGGCGCATTAAAAATGAGTCAATTGGCGAATACTTAAGTGAATTAACTAATGATAAAAGTAATGATTATTAACTCTGGAAAGCTACCAAAAGATTAAAAATATCTACTATGCTTAACCCTCCAATCAGAAATATAGATGGAAGCTGGGCCCGAAACAATTTGCAGAAAGCAAACAGATTTGGGGAACATTTCAACCTAATAATGGTAAAGATCTTCAAAACTGGATGAAACTGACAAAAAACACAGTGGTTAAACCTACCTTTCAAAAGTTTATATGGAAATCTAAATAATTATAAATCCTAAAAAAATAACTCGAGGAAATTCTAAAAATGCTTCCACGGAAAGCTATTGTTAAAATGGCCAATCACATCAATGCGTTCTTTAGACTAAAGATGTGAAAGGTGGCAGAAGTTATAAGCCAGGTAAACTTCTTTATGAAGTTACATCGTACAGACCCATTTACTTGTTACCTGTTATCTCGAAACTCTATGAACAATTGATTCTTAAGAGATTAAAACCTATAATAGAAGAAAAGGACCTAATACCCTTCCACCAGTTTGACTTCAGAGAAAAATACTCGACCATCGACCAATTTCATAGAATCACCGATATCATCCGCGTCTATCACAAATTTTAAAACAAATAAAATGTTTTTATTTGCTTAGAAATAATATTAACAATCAAAATATTTTAGAACAAACAAAACAACACGAAAAATAAACTCAAATTCTCTAAAAATTTTATATTTTTGACAGATTGAAGATAAATTGGGTGCATACGTTTCTGTTTGTTTATATAAAAATGGCCACCTTTTCTATCTTCTTTTATTAAACATTCAGTAAAGATGTGCAGTATACTTCTATAAGTATGTGGCTGGTATACATATGCTGTGGAATTACTCGGCATTTAATTTATCTATAAGGAAGTTTTTTTTGTATAAAATACTTTCATTATTTTTTATTTATTTGATATTATATTTCTAGACTACAAGAATAATACTTTTTATTGACATATACTTTGTTTTAGGTTTATTAGTCCACTAACTATCGTATTTTGCTTATTTATCCGAGTGTCACGAGAGTTGGCAAAACAAAACCCAACGCCAGTCATTAAGTATGAAGTTCGTACGCAAGAAACGAAAACAAGGATAGGAACAACTCAAACGGGACAGGAAGAAGTTCGGTAAGAAACACATTCCATTATTTATAAAGACTAAGAAATATTTTGCTGCATATTAACTCTTAAAGGCCGATCCTCACTAGGTCACACTACCCGCACAATCAAGAATTTGAGGTAGTATTCACATTTTACACTCAACATTTTTTAATGCCATGTCGGAGTATAACTTCAATTCAGTTCAATTTATTGCAAATAGTATTACATACATAAAAATGTTTTACTTATTTCTAAAATATAATAATAATAATAAAACGTCCTACAGGGCTTATAACCACGCTAGGAAAAGTAGCCTGCTTTGTGGCTTTTAGTCCTACAAAGCATTTAAACGAGTTTTAAATAATGTAATTGGTATTTAAGGCAATGTAACAAATTTTAAATTAAATAGTTTTAATTTTACTTTTCCAAGATTTAAGAGTGATTGATCAAATGACCATAAGGCAAATTTCTGGTAATTGTACATGTAATAACTATTAAACACAAAACAAAACAATGTAAAATCAGTAGAAAGGAAATTTATCTGGGCAATTTTTGATATAATTAATTACTTCTTTCATAAAACTTTTAAAATGGTTTTCTTTTATTTTATTGGAAGAACATTAAAGATTTTTATCATCCAGGTTGTACAATTCTTTGGTTTTTCGAACTAATTTAATTAGTTGGTTATTCAACTTGCTCTTAACACAAGAATAGAAAAAACAAAAGTCGTTAAATTGGTGCATGTACGTACATACCTTAGATAAAAGAGACCAGAGATATAACATACACCGGTTTTAAACCTGCGCAAATGTTGCCAATTTCTAAAGAAGGGTTAACGGAGTGGGGGAACTGGGCGGCGACACGCGGCGACCCGAACTCTGTGACAGGGACCGGACTTTGTTTATTAGCAACTTAATGAACTATTAGGTTTATTTAAATGGTGTTTAATCGAATTTTGTATTATGAAATCAAATTATCGTGATTTTTTAATATCAAACAGATGCCACGACATTTTATGTAAAGAGAAGACCTTTTATAGAATATTTCGTTAGCGTTTATTTACTACGGACTTTTCTGCAAGAGATTACAGTAAAATGTTGAAATAGAATATATTGTTAATAGAGCAAAAAATGTAACTCATTGTCTACGAGTATTATAAAAATAGCATGTGCGCAGGCTAATACTGCAAATCTACCCTTATGAGTTGAACATTATATTTTTTCTACGGCTATTACATATTATTAAAAATTAGTCAAAATGAGAAAATGCTGTTTTGTATTGTAACCTCAGAAAAAGTATATTAAGGCTTCTTTCTTTAAGAATATTATTTATTATAAAGGATGAGTCACATAAAACTCTAGAAATGCATATGTCTGAAACCAGATAACATTTTAAAATTTAAATCTATTAAAAGTCATTTGGTCGCTAGGGATGAGTGATTATCGAAATAAATTATCGATAATTGAAAATAATCGATTATTTTCGATCAATAGATTATTTTCAGACAATATATTTTTTGTCATTTCCTTTAAAATCGACTACTTGATTATCTTTGAAAAATCAAAAATAATCGATTAATTAAAAAGCCAATTAACCGATAAATCAGTGTTTACAAAATATAATATAAATAGAATTATCGTTTATTTTAAATAATCGATTATTTTCAAATAAACCATTTTTTTTTCGTCAATGGAAACAGATTATTCGATAATCTTTGAAAAATCGAAAATAATCGATTAATCAAAAATAATCAATTAATTAAAAAGTCGATTAACTGATAAATCGATTTAAAAAAAAAACAGAATGATCGATTATTTTAAATAATTCATTATTTTCGATCAATCGATTATTATCAATAATCTATTTTTATTGTATTTCCTTTAAAATCGTTAATTCGATTATCTTTGAAATACCGAAAATAATCGATAATTCCAAAATAATCGCCTAATCGAAAATAATCAATTAATTAAGAAGCCGATTCTATGATAAATCGATTATTACCAATAATCTATTTTATTGTATTTCAAAAATATTCGATTAATTAAAAAGTCGATTAACTGACAAATCGATTTTCAAAAAAAAAAACAGAATGATCGATTATTTTAAATAATCGATTATTTTCTATCAATCGATTATTATCAATAATCTATTTTTATTGTATTTTCTTTAAAATCGATAATTCGGTTATCTTTGAAATACCAAAAATAATCAATAATTTCAAAATAATCGCCTAATCGAAAATAACCAATTAATTAAGAAGCCGATTCTATGATAAATCGATTTTCCAAAAAATAAAACAAATTATCTATTATTTTCTAATAATCCTTTTTTCATATTTCCTTTGAAATTGATTATTCGATTATCGAAAATAATTGATTATTAAAAAGCTGATTATCCAATAAATCGATAATTTTAAAAAAATAACCAAAAATCGATTATGTAAAATAACCGATTATATTCAATCGATTATTTTCATATAATATCTTCGAAAAATCGAAAATAATCAAATAATTAAAAAACCGATTAAACGATAAATCGATAATTTTGAATAAATGTACTTTTTCTGTATTTCCTTTAAAATCGATTAATACATTATCTTAAAAAAAAAAAACGAAAATAATTTATTAAAAACAGCGGATAAATCGATTTTTATTAAAAAATATCAGAATTATCGATAAATCGATTATTTTTGTAACCCCTATCGGTCGCTTGCTTTTATCTGAGCATTTAGCTCCAAAATTTAGAGATTCGGATTTTTTGATCCAGTTATCTTTGAAATCGCATTCGCTTGTATAATAAATAAATATTGCTAAATTTTGGATTTTTTTTAGTAAACGAAAATTATGTTCGAGTTGTTTAGGGATTTGTAATGTTACATTTTATTAACGTGACTAAGGGTTGATTCCACCGTTGTGTTAAACGAAGTTTAAAATGACATTTTTACATTAACACTGTCATTTTAATATCCGTTTAACACAACGGTGGAATCGGACCTAACTCCTGTAACTTTAGTATTTTTTTTTTGTTTATACTAGATTACTTTGTTTTAAGACTGAAAATTCAATGTCACTTTCGATTTGACCGCAAATAAGATGAACCTTGTAATTTTAAGTAGGTCATCCTGTATTTCATCTAATATTCTTATAAAAATACCTTATAAAAATAAAATTTAGCTAGCAACTATGATTCTTTACCTCTTATTTATCTACCAAAAAGGGCTAAAAACTACCTTTAGAAAACATTCTTATAAAACTACTTTTTAAATACAAAATTTCGTTAGCAATAATGCCTATTTACTATTTATTTAAATTAAATGTTCAAAATTTTACCCTTTTGTAAATTTATGTAAGTAATATGAAATCTGATGCTTAATATTTATTGAAACCCCTAATGCGGATCTGAAGTATTCAGCCCAGAGAATCATGGCGCTTTATGTCAAAACGTTAATAAATATTTACCGCTGAAAAAGAATATATTCATAACAGTAGTACTTGTATTATAAGTACATACAATTTTTCAAGATACATTGTGACATTTTGAACTTGAAATTGAATAACTAGAACACTTTAAATTGCTAAAATACCAACAAATAAATCAAAAAACAGCTGTCAATGGTGATTAAACTCAGGTGGAGGTGTGATCGCTGAATGGAAATCGGAGCAATTCGGGTGGCGTCGTGCAACAATGATTTTCATTGGTGGGTTACTTTGGCTAAAAATAGACTGCATGCGCAGTGTGCAATGTTACATCTTCGGTCTCTTTAATCTAAGGTACATACCGACGCAAAGGTTCACTCACGGTTCGATTAAAATATCCGCACGGAGAAAGACAGCGGTCAAAGATCGTGAGCGTACCGTAAGCGAAACGCCAGATATGAATAATTACATTTAAATAGCGTGTCACGATACTGCATCGTACCTTGAGTGGAGCGTGACCTGAACTACAGTGAGAATCGGCCTTAGCTGGTATGAAAATTTTAAAGGGATGGTTGGATCATTTAAAGAACCTGATTTTATTTTTCTCATATTTAACATTAATAAAATATTGTTACGCAGTACCCTACAGCGTTCTGCGCTCGTCATAAGTAAAGATACGAGTAAAGGAAGAATATAGAATAGTCCAGAAATGTCTCGAAATGTCATTCCTTGTCAAAGAAAAATCCGGATTGTTCGAGAAGGTTCTAGAAGGTTGAGGCAAGCTATATAAGTCGACGACCTGACGTTAGAGTTCAGTTTTATGATAGACGTTATGCGTTAATGTTATCAGTTGTATCCACATACTCTGATTTTCTCTTACTATACGGAGAATGGTCGCACTCACATACTTTGATTACTATACGGTGCAAGAGAGAGGTCCGATACGCCCAATATAGGGCGCGGCCATTTTGATTCCTATACCACAGTTTATAGCTAAATAATAAGATCAGTTTATACACTGCGCAACTCGGATAATACAATATATGACAATCGCCTATAATAAAACAGCAGTCTTCTGCGTATCCTGAATTTGTATCCCTGGAGTGGATGTTATTTTGGAACTTTCAGCTGGTCCGAGTGAGCTAACTGATTCTTTAGCAATAAACTGTGCCTTTACTACCAAGTTAGGCAACACATATATTTCCTAAATGTTAAACTGGTAGTCTATACATCCTGGTATTTAGACAATAAAAAGAGAACAATGAAATATGAAATTTATTTTATAGAAAACTATAAAATTAAAGTAAAATATCTTCTTTAAATTTGTAAGGCTAGCGTCGCATAAGGCAATCATTAAGTTGCCGATCTTCAGAAGCAGAACATCTGCTGAAGACAAATCCCATAATCTCTTACGAGCAATTAAATTAGGCAGAAGATCGGTTACAGCGAGTTATATAAAGACATTTTGCCATATCATATAAAATAATAGTGACGTAAAGAGATCATATTTCATTGTAGATAATTCTTGTTAACATTTAGATCATTCTTATTTCAACCTCGGTCGAGTAAGCCAGTATTTTATTGTAATTTAAAAATAAGTTTTGATTCTAAAATAGTTAGCGCCTAGCATTTGAATTTACAACGCAAAGATTTGCGGCTTATTTTCAGCGGCTGAACTTCTGCCTAGTGTAACGCTAGCCTAAGAATTCATATTGTATACGCATATTTAAAGCCCATGAAATTTTTTTAATTGTCAAAACTTTGACATAATTACTCAATAACTTTTTTTGGGGGTTAGTCACATACTTTGATTTTCTTTTACTATACGGAGAATGGTCGCACTGCGCAGCTTTCTGAGTGCCTTTTAAAAGGAGATAGAAAACTCCGCCATTTTGAACCCTTATTACGTGTTGCCTACATCTTGGCGCAATATTTTTAATAGGTGCGTTTTAATCATCCGCTTCTGCTTCGGAATTGTCGGTTTTCTTGTTTTAATCTGACAGGTTAAAACAAATAAACCGACAATTCCGGAAGCAGAAGCGGATGATTAAAACGCACCTGATATTTTGCTTGCTGCTGTCAGTGTCAGTGAATATTATTTTTGGAGTCACAGTTTATTGCTAAAAAATCAGTTAGCTCACTCGGACCAGTTGAAAGTTCCAAAATAACATCCACTCCAGGGATACAAATTCAGGATACGCAGAAGACTGCTGTTTTATTATAGGCGGTTATCATATATTGTATTATAAGAGTTGCGAAATGTATAAACTGGAACATTGAGATCAAAAGTGCCGACGCAGAGTGAGCGATCTGATTCTTTAGCTATAAACTGTGGCATAGGAATCAAAATGGCCGCGCCCAATGTTGGGCGTGTCGGACCTCTCTCTTGCATCGTATAGTAATCAAAGTATGTGGGGTTAGTTCAATTGTGATTCCTTACCTTGCAGCATGCAAGTTAAGAAATTCAAACATCGATAAATGATCCATGCGTGTGCGAAAATTGTGATTTGATTGTGAATTGAAAGCTCTTGCATTAAGAAAAATTTGAATAAGACAGTTAAATTCTCTCGAATATGCATATGATGAGGGTTTAAAGATCTTATTGAGAGGGATTGTGCATAATAATTTTTTAAACATTCCGCCAAATTTGAATGCAATCTATAATATTATTCGATAGAAGTAGATTGATGAAAGATATTGGTTTTAAATATGTGAAGCGTGGTCACAAAAGTATAATGTTAAAACCGCACAGGTATTTAAGACACATCAAACAATATCGTCAACAAAATTGTAATGTTACCTATTAAGACGAGACTTGGGTTAACGTGTGTCAAATGGTTAACTATGCATGATGTAATAAAAAAATCGTAGAAATTCTTTTATAAAAGGTTTAACTACAGGCCTCAAAGCAGTAACACAAAGAGGTCCACGTTTCATTATTGTTCAAGCACGATATGAAGGTGGATTTTCACCTGGCGGCGCTGATTCCTAACTCACCCAAAAATGGACGAAAGAACGTTGTTGTTATGGATAACGCTTCGTATCATTCCTGTAAATTTAGTTTTCCAGCTACCGCATGGGACAAATATAAGATTAAGGAAATAGTTGCAACATACGGAGTAACTCTTTTACGCTTACTACCGTACCATTGCGAGCTTAACCCGATCGAAATAGTATGGAATCAGGTAAGATACAGCATGTTCGTTTGTTGATAGATGACGCATTTGAACATGTAACTGAAAAAAATTGGCGTAATTGCTTTGCAAATTTTAGAAAAAAGATGGAAAAGAAATGTGGGTCGCTAATAATCTCTAAGACAACGTTGATGAACTCATTATAAGACTTAATTTTGGCGATAGTGCTAAGAGTGAGATTTCAGACCTCGACGATGACTTACAATGACTTATAATGACTTATCTATAACGTAAAATATGCTTATATTATTATTTGTCAACTTATAAATTGTAATTTTTAAAATTCATTGTTTATTATTGAACATACAAATTTTAAGATAAAATTTAAAACCGGCCCTTTTTTCTTTTGCCGATCCCAGCATAGTGACGGCTGGAAACGGCTGGCAGCGATCCGCTTCATAAGACTTCACACTGCATTATCAGGTGTCTACCTTTATAGTGGTTGGTTGTTGGTAGCCTCTGGTTCATTTGTTTTACTTGAGTGCTCATCTTGGTGTGATGACCTTGCTCTGCCATCCAATCAACATGACTGACGTCTTCTATAAGCATTTTTTGCTACTTATTCTTCTTCTTTTTCTTTTCTTTTTATTCTTCTTCTGCTTTAACAATGGGTCAAACGATTTGAAAAAATGTGCAGTATAGTGATTTGCAGAATCATTTATTACATTCATTTTTAATTTAATAATAGAACAATTTAAAGTTAATGTTTTATCTTTTACTTACGATTATTTTTACTCCAGGTAGAGCTTATTTTAATTTAAAAACATATTTTGAAAATTCTGAATTCTATGGGTTTTCTGAATTCTGCCGTCCTCATTAATGTAATCGCAGCTTTTTTGTATCCCCATTGATTATTATTGTTTGCTTTTATAGTTTGAACAATTTTCAGAAGCGTCAGAACCGACTACGATCAAACGAGACAGTGTAGCCGCGGAAGTATTCATGAAAGCGACAGAGGCAGGGCGCTATACAAATTATCCGAACCTCATCTCAATGTCGTCAAAGAACGCCGAACTCAGAAATTTCTGGTCAGCATTGTGGTTATTTACGGAGTCTGCCTTTGCCCTTTGCTGGTATTAAAGCTCGCAAGAATGTCCGTTCCAGAAACGTACGAGTACATCACATATCTGGATATCGTCTACATTTGTTTTGTTTGGTTTGCATACGTTCCCACATGCACGACAGCGATGTTATTTATATTATGGCAGATTAACAGGTGAGTTCGTTTTGTTAATTAAAGTCTTTTCCATTGCAGTTAAAGTGGATTACTATCTGAAAATATCGTTTTATAAATTTGGTGTTGTGGAAAATGCACTATATATGCACAACAAAATGTTTGTCTCTTTGGGATAAGAACTTTCCCAGCTAGCACAAAAGTATCCCATCTACGTTAATAAGCTGCAATTTTAGGCTCTTTAAGCTCGCATGCGATGTACTTTTAATGTAACCCTAATATCCATGCAACCACCGAATGTCCGCAACGGCAAGACTTTTATAGCACATCTCGCAGAAGTTATAAAGTGAAGTTCAAAAAACATCACGCTAGCACTTTTACGATACTTACCCCGAAAGTTGCTCTGAAACTTTCTATAGATGTTATAATGTGAATTCATTATACAGTGTGTCTACGGACGGAGTTAACAATACTTGTAAAAATATTTATTTTAAATTTAAAAGTACTTCTTCATAATTTCTTTTGCTTGTTAAATAAATACGATTAACGGTGAGAAATTATGAAAAAGGCCTCTTTTGAAAAATTTAAAATAAATATCTTTACAAGTATAGTTATGTCTATCCCTGGATACACTATATTCAAAATAGTATATTGAGGATATAGTAAAATCTGAAGAAAACAAAATAAAAAAATTGTATAAATTTATTATTAAAAAGCTTTTGAAATCAAGTATCAATATCATACAAGTAGAGGTAGGTAGGTATGGAAATTGAAATGACCATTCCAATGAAAATATTAATTTTCATATTTAACATGCCAACGCCATCTCTTGAAAAAAAAAAATTTAAGCGCCCTAGGGACCCCTAACTATTTCGTCCCTGAACTAGATTATGTCCAGCTCCTAATTTTAGGCGCTAGCTTCAGTTTCATATACAGGTAACGCAATTACAGATGTATGATACCATAAGGTAGCTATAAAACACTGACAAATTGGACAAAAGTAGGTATAAAGGGTATATAAGGAATATCCTCAAAGGTTCACTAGAATCGAAAACATTGAACGCTTGCACGAAAGAGTATAATAAGGTACCTATATTGCAAAGGTTCACTAGTAGCTAAAATGGTGAACGATTGTAGAAAAATAGTAAAAAGTGTATTTATATAAGGTAAATTTCAAAGGTCACTAGATTTTTATTAAGATGGCAGTTGTAAGATGCTAAAAAAGATATTTGCCTACAACTGGTACTAATCATAGTTTTAATACGATATAACTTGATTAAAGTGGATATCGATAAATGTAAAGTCATAAGGTTTAATTAAACAGCTAATATCATTATGCATGATTATGTCATTGCAGCTTCTGAACTAAGTGTTGAGCAAACTATAAATGATCTTGGTGTTATTTTTGACAGGGACCTATCGTTTATTCCTCATTTTATTAGATTCCTAGTTCCTGCCAGACTTACTATTATATGTAAATACTCATAGAACAACTAACTATGGACAGAATTTATTTGTAGACCGACTGATGTCCAATTACAATAAGTATTTTTCAAATTATGACATTTTAGTAGGTTTTTTTTAAGCGTCGACTTTCATTACACTATTGACTTCACTTTTATACTATGACAATTCTATTAATTTCTTTTTTATTTTAAATGTATCATTTAGAACTTTATGTATCTGTAGCATACTGTAAACAGATAGATAAATAAATAAATAAATAAATAAATATGTGAACTTAATTATATAGTTTCTTCCATAAAAATAACTTTGTAGATAATAAATTTACTTATTAAAGAAAATAATATGTATAAAGAAAATGAAAAATATGCTCCTTTAAATCGTTGCACCTATTTTTAGTTGATTTTTACTTACTTTGTTTTCCTAAATAAATAATAAACTTTATTTTGATTTTTACAAATTTTATACTCAATAATGGATGTTCAACTTATACAGAACAATGTTTTTAGCATGATATTCTGCTATGAAAGAAAAAGAAATAATTTCAGATGTTATATATTCTTCTTCAACCAATTCTGTATTATTAGCTTTAGTTTCTAAAATTCCTGAGATTTTTACTTGAATTATAATCCAGCACAAAGGAAACCTACAACACAATATTTTTAAAATTTATTTGTTGTGATTAAAATATTATTACAATAGGGTGACCATACTTACAGCAATTTTGCTGTATTGTAAAGCATTTTTAAAGTTTATCCAGCAATTGGTATTGTGCAGCAAACGTACAGCAAAAGGGCATAGGTATATGTCCAGTGAAATGCTGTATTTATCCACCAAAACGTCACTACTCTCCAGCAATGGTAATACTTAATTTACTGAAATGTAACAAATTTAAATGTTATTTATCTTTAGTGAACTACATGAGCACTTCTATACTGCTGTCCTAGCAAGAAAGGTTTAATCTGCAAAATTAGCAGTTTTTTTTATTTATGTGCATTTGTCTACATTTTATCGTTCTTGATATTGAAACAGAATATCTTATTTGCATCAAAGGTACTAAAATGTTAAAAAGTTACACAAAAAAGGTTTAAAAGATAATAAATATATCTGTTAAAAATAGTTAAAAACTCGATTATTTTAAAACAACAAATTTTCACATAAGACCTCTCTTGCTAGGATGGCAGTATATGACTTCTCTGTTTTTGTATTTTTATAGTTGGGAGTAGGGATATGAGTATCAGTCAAAGGTATCGATACTGGTATCATGTGAGATACTTTGTGGTAGAGTCATCGATACTGGTATCATGTGAGATACTTTGTGGTAGAGTCATCGATACTGTTCGATATTATGTTAAAGATATCGATATTTATAAGTATCGAGTAACAAAGTATCAAACAAGTAAAAGATTTTTAAATGGCTGACAACCCCCATTCAACAGGAAGGAGTGAGGAACTCAACTAAAAACAAGAGTGAATCAGTAAAGTATATTCTGTAGTTGGCACCTTTTATTTCTCTACTGGTACTCTACCTGGTACAAGTTATAGTCTCAATAACTGGCAATTTACCTTATAATTAAATAACAAAAAACAGTGGTAACGCTTAATCATATTACCAAGTTTCACCACATGCGAAAACTAAAATATTTCGGTACAAATATTTGAACAAACCTTATTATCCCTGACCACACACATAGCAATACGATACTTGCTTCTAAGTATCCATATGGCGATAGTATTGGTAATTCAGTATCAATGCCTAAATATCGATACTTTCATTGTTTAATATCGTTACTTCTATAGTATTGAGACATCCCTATTATCGTGTAAAATATAGGAAGTCATTTAATTGTATCTACTCCTTTTACGATGATTTATTTTTTATTGTATTTGGAAACTGAAATATTCAATCTAAAACAACAGACAATAAATTAGAAAATATGTTTATATTTTATTAAAAAGAAGAAAAGAACTTACCAAACTTATTCAAACGTATAAATAGTTTACAATTTCTTTAAAATCTCAAATACCACCAAACTTCCTGTCAAATACATACAAAAAAAAGTGGCAAGTGACATTTTTTAATGTTTTGTTGGTTATGACCATAGATTACTAATGTGAATAAATGGGAAACTCAATGGTAATATTCTGAGTCGATGTGCTGCCATCTATCAAATTAGAGTGGTACTAAAATTCAATATGGCCGCTTAGCGCGGGCTTTTTGAAATTTAACTTTCTGCTAGTCGCGCAAAAATATAATGAAGAATATCAAACAAAAAAAATAAATTGGCAAAATATTTGACTAGTTTCAAATCATGAAACAACCATATTGACTGTTTTGTGATTTGAAACTAGTCAAATATTTTGCCAATTTATTTTTTTTGTTTGATTTTCTTCATTATATTTTTGCATTAATTTCAAACTTGAAATAAAATGCAATTTATTTAATTTATTTTTTTATTACAGTAAATTAACGCCGCATCATATAATTTGTCTATTTAAACATGGCGAATTTGAGGGTGGATAAAATTTGCCATATGCTTATTGAGTCGACTAGTTAAGTTGAGGAACATTTCTTCATCCGATATTGTTTTATTGATTTATTTGTACAGCACCTGTAGTTATCAAATTCTTATTCATCATCTGAGCACTGTGATAAATAAATTTAACTTTCGAGCTTAAATTAAACTTACACACGTTTGGACCTTTGAAGATTTTGGGGTGTTTTCTTGTTTGATGTCAATGGCATTGAATTAAATTTTGATATTGATGGCTAAGGCTCAAATATTTCATCGATCTACAGGGTATTTTGAAGGGCCAACATTTTCTTTATAACAATGATCATTTAAAAACTGAAAACAAAAAGAAATTTAAATAAACCAAACCAAACACTGAATCAAAAACAAGTTCGTAAATATTACTTACCATTGATATGCCAGTACAAGATGCATTTTTCTTAAGACACTTATTACAAATTGTATGTTTATCCTTAATATGATGACCGCATATTTAATACGTTGTATAAATTGCATCACTAACAATATCTGGGAGTGCTTCATTGTTCGTTCCTGAAATCCATGTTCCCATCTCTTGAAAACATTCTTAAAATTGGAAGGTGTTGAAAAATAAATCTAGATGAATCAAAATTCAATACACCTTCAAATGCGACAGCCATTTTAATTTTTCCAAGTATGAAGTTTTGTTGACAAGCTGACAACTGACATGACATTTCGATATGAGCGCTATCCCGTTAATTGGAGTGGTACTAAATTACCGTCCTCATGTTTTTCCATTTGAGTTACCAGCCCCTGGTTATGACAAATGAATGGTTACGTTCGAAAACAAGATGATGTTAATAGTAATAATTCTCGTGGATACTTTTTTAGCAAGTTACATTATTACGTTGTGATATCCTGACAGGCAGGTTAAATACGTAAGTAACAAATAGATGTTTCGCGAGGTTTTGATTTCCCTCAACAACTTCTCATGAACGTTGCAGTTACATTGTATGGTAATGTTATTACGTTCCCTTAAAACAACATCGCCGAAAAGCTTGGCAACGTTATGTGCTAGCTGGGTTA